CCTGAGGCCCCTCCGCTACCCCCATCACCAGGGAGCCCCGACCAGTTCAAGCCTCATGGAAGTGGTGAGATCCCCCCCCTTTCTCTCTCTCTTTTCTTTTCTACCTCAGGTATAACTTTCTAACCCTGACTTGTTTGATCAGGTCGAGTTTTCTATATATGGCTTTTGTAACCTTTAATAATGTAACTGTTACGTTGGTTTAGCTCTCCTTGTGTAGTTATCACTATTATTCAATAAAGAACTTGTATGGTTAGTTGGTTGCTTCTCTCTCTCTCTGAACTTTACTCTTTGGTGTTTTTAGCTTCCCCCATTTACTCTGCAGCAACGAGTCTTCTACCTAAGCTGAAGATCCCTGTGGCGCCCAAAAATCCGGTGGGGTTTGCTCATCCAGTGGGTTACTGCCAGACCCATTGGGACGTGACAGTGGGGATAGGGACGTGCTGAGCCTGGGACATAGAAGGGTGGCAGCTTGGAAGTGCTGCTCGACCCAGACGACTGAGTCCAGGGGCAGATAAGGGGTCAGCTTGGGAGTGCTGATTGACCCAATCCACCCAGACTTGCTGTGTGTGTGTGTGTGTTTTCATCTGGTTCTGGGGCTGGAGGAACCCAGCCCTGGGGAACCGAGGTCCTGCAGGACAGCTCCATTGGGAGGGGACTTGCAGCAGGGAGAAGTAGAGCTCCGTATGAAAACACACGTGACACAAGCAGAACATTGATAGAAGTACAGAAACCCACCCCCCCCCGAAGAATAACCCAAATAAATGAGCGTACCCCAAAGTAATGGGCAAATCTGGTACCAGCGCCCCCCGGCATATGCCAGCCTACGGAGCTCTGGTGTGGTCACCCAGCTGGACGTCCTGCCTAATACAGGCCCGAGGACTTCTTTGAATGAATTCCTGCTTCAAAGCCAAGAGCTGGGCTCAAACGAGAGCAGGTTTTCTAGAAAAACGTCCGCTCGTGATATTAAAATGTCCAGTGAAGAAGAACCCACCATGGCCCTCGGTACGTGGTTGCAGTGGTTGATTACTCTCCACGTTAAAAAGGGGGCCTCGTTACGTTACTAGTCTGAATCGGTCTAGATTCAACTTCCAGCCATTGGATCCTGTTAGACTTTTGCCTGTTAGATTGACCCCCTCGTTATCAAATCTCTGTCCCCATGTAGGTATTTAGAGACTCATAAAATCTCCCCTTAACCTTCTCTTTGATAAACCAGGTTGGGCTAAGAACATCCTCGTGGGACCTCACTCGCTGCACATCCACTCCATGATGCTTTCCCGCTCACCGTTACACTGGGAGAGCTTGCGGTTCATTTTTCATCTATGTAATGTGTGCCGCGTTCATTCTGTATCAGTCTGATTGCTTAAGCAAAATGCTGGGTGGTACCAAGTCAAAGCCAAGCCTAAGAAAGTGACATCAACACAATTACCATTGTCAATCAAACCTGTAATCTCATCCGAAAAGGATATCGAGTTAGTTTGAGAAGATTTGTTTTCCATAAACCCATGTTGATTGGCGTTAATTATATCACCTTCCTTTAATTCTTTATGAATCACCTGGGATTGATGCCAAGATGACAGGCCTATAATCACCTGCACATCCCATTTACTCTTTGTAAATATTGGCGCAACACTAGTTTTCTTCCAGTCCTCTGGAACTTCCCCAGTGCTCCAAGACTTATTAAAAATCAGCATCAACAGTCCAGCAAGCTCCTTGGCCAGCTCTTTTAAAACCTTTGGATGCACATCATCTGGACCTACTGATTTAAAGATGGCTAACTTTAATAGCTGCTGTTGAACATCCTCCTGAGTTGCTGTTGTAATGGAAAATATTTGATCATCATGTGATGTGAATATACCACCTGGCTGTTTCCCATATTCTGAACAATTCTGCCTTGTCTGCATGATTATTGACAGTTCTACCCTTTCCATCTAGTAATGGACCAACACCATTGTTAGAATTCCTTTTGTTCCTAATATACATTTTAAAATGCCTTCTTATTGTCCTTAACTCCACTAGCCATAGATTACTGCTTGTGTCCTTTTGCTTCCTTTATCAATTTTCTACCATTTATAGCTTCTAGTTTATTTCATTGTGTGACACTTCCCCCAAGGGTACCCAGGGCTGTAAGGAACTTCATCGCCACCTGCCGTTAGTGTGAGGAAGTTTTGTCTATGACTGCTGTGTCACCTCCCTGACTATGCCAGTCTCTGACAACACAAGCACTCCCCTCCGGGCTTCTTTCTTTCTTTCTTTCTTTCTTTCTTTCTTTCTTTCTTTCTTTCTTTCTACAGGTTAGCAATAGGCACACCCCAACCCCTGAGTCCTCCAAGCATTCCCTGTAGTGTCCAGCCCCTCATCCCCTGAACACTCATGAATCTAGGAGGCCTGCTCAATACACATCACAGCTTATTAGTCATGCCTTAGAACATAGCTCAGCGTTTAGATGTATTACTAGTGGAAACACAAGTTTATTATCAAAGAACAGATTCAAGTGCTAATGTGTAAGATTATTGGAAACAAACTGTCCCATAGAAAACAAAATCTTAACACAACTAAATGTAACGACCAAGGTCCCTCTTGGCCAAAGAAGCTTGTCTCACTCACAGAAGTTTCCTCCAGCATTTTCAGCCAAGCCTGGTTTAGATTTCTTTTTCATGAAGGAAACTGACTGGTCATCAAGGCCGCCCCGGGGGGCAAGTGGGGCAATTTGCCCCAGGCCCCGGGCCCCACAGGGGCCCCCACAAGAATATAGTATTCTGTAGTATTGCAACTTTTTTTTATGGAAGGGGCCCCCAAAATTGCTTTGTCCCAGGCCCCTGAATCCTCTGGGCGGTCCTGCTGGTCATTTATTTCCTAGGTGAGGGATGCCAAGGTGTCTTGAATATACCAGCACAGACCTTTGATGTGCACCTCAAGGTAGCTCCCCACCCCCAACCTGCTGTTCACCTCTTCCTCCTGGTACTTTCCTCTCTTTGAAGCTTTCACAACCCTCAATTAGCACTGACTCAGACATCTTCCTTAGTGGAATCTCCTTCCTTAGAGGTGTTTAAGGTCAGGCTTGACAAAGCCCTGGCTGGGATGATTTAGTTGGGGTTGGTCCTGCTTTGAGCAGGGGGTTGGACTAGATACCTCCTGAGGTCCCGTCCAGCCCTGATATTCTATGATTCTATGATCTGAACCACGCACCACTTCATGTACATGTAAACAGGTAGATAAACATTCCTTGCCCAAAAGAAAACCTGTTTTTCACCTTTGCTGGGGACCAGTCTCGAGACTCAGCTCTTAGGAACGTAACTATCAGTAAAAAGAACAGGAGTACTTGTGGCACCTTTGAGACTAACAAATTTATTTGAGCATAAGCTTTTGTGGGCTAAAACCCACTTCATCGGATGCATGCAG